TGCTATACCGCAATTGGAGTAGCTACTACCCTTTTATCAGGCACCTCACGATCCGACAGGGGCGACGTCCATGAAAACTTCGCTGAAAAATAGACTCCGCATCCTTTCAAACCATTTCGTGATTATCCTAGGTCGCCCAGTTGCTTAAAGGAGCTGTGTCACAAATTCAGTCAAATTAGGAAATTACAAAATGCCTGTAAAATTAATAGAAACAAAAATAACCGTTTAAAACTTTAAAGGAAGGTTAAATTAACTTAACAGAAACAACAGGTGCCACGGATGGGCAAAACTGAAGGAGACTGAAACGGATTGAAAATAGGGTTTTTGAAAACTGTTCAGCCTAACAGTTTTTCAAAGTTGATCCCTGCTGCTTGCAACTTCAAAATAATGCTCAGGAGACATATTTGTTTGTCTCGGATCTCTGATTTTGTCATTTACCTGTAATTTCTTTGCTTACTTTAAGTTCCATAGCGATTGAGGACGAGTAATTGGCAAAATTAAACAAAATGAACTGGACTGCCGTGACACAGCCCCTTTAAAAGAAAGGTGTTTAGATTGGAGCTGAAGAGATTGGGCCGCGCCCGAGTTCAGACAGAGATGCTAGAATTTATCGCCTTGCCGTTCCCGTCCTCAAAGAAACTTAAAATTTGGTCATTTCACGTCGTAGTCGTGCAGGGACTGCAAAGAAATGTACAAAAAAAGCGTGATGCACCTGCAGAGTTGTTGTTTGGCTAGCTAAACCTATTGCTTTTTGACATTTGACCGCCTTAGTTTTGTAAGGTCCATATTTCTTGTATACACGCCATCCGGGTCTTTTCCATCACGACAGGATGTTAGCAGGACAGCCTTGGGACGCGAGGAAGTTATGTTTCAATTTGACCAGTGTAATAATAATTTCTCGCTTGTTTTGACGCTACTTTTAAAGCCCGTTCAGTTGTCAGTAAAGGGAACTGAAACCATTTTTTTCCTGCTCATTTTAGGCATTCTACTAATGAACAGTTGCTACATTAGTTTCGATATTTGCAAAAGCAAAAAGAGTTACTCATAGATTGTTCCCTTCAAATATTCATAAGTAATTACTATCATGATATCAGCGATTTAGGGTGACGTTTACGGAAAACGACAATCGTCAGATTCAAGTTGAGAATTTCTCAAAATAGAAAACGTCAGCCAAGAAAAGCCCAAAACAGCTGTTACAGACAAAACAAACTTGAAGCTACTAATTTTGGAGTAGAAGTATTTCTGTAATAAGGAGTAACACACAAGTTAAGGGAAACTTGGCCACGAGATACAAATTTACTTTTGTCGTTTGTCGTAAGCGTGGCTCTAAGTCTCTCTATTATCGCGGACTTTTTCGGCCATTTTTCGCCTTTCATGAAAGAGACTGATTACCCGTGCTTTGTTTTCAATTTGCTAAAGATCAACCTGCAAGACCGAGAAGAAGACAAAGGGTAAATATTCCCCAAGAAGACGCTGATGATGCAAACTGGGAAGGCGCGCCTGTATCAAATGTAACGAATGCAACCGCAGAGAGCGACAAGCAAAATGATGCAGTAAAGAAGGTATTGAATGTGATTTGTAGTGTAGGGAAGATAATGTAGAAATTAAAAGTGGGCTACGTGATTTTCCCATAAATTCGCCCCTTGTCAGGGAATCCAAAACTGTCTTAGATTTCCGAAAGATCGAGCACGTTACGGTCTGTCGCTACTGTTTTTTAGAAATAAAATCCTATTAGCCCATGGAAATGTTTCATTGTTTAAACACGATAAAATTTTTACAATTAGCACACAATGAAAGTAGACAGTGCACAGATATCCAGTGTCCGTAAAGCAGGGTTGGCGATATATGAGAGCTTGTGACGCGGGACGCAGTTAAGTGTCCGTTGTCCGTATTTAGCGGGTTTATTCTACAGAAAATAAAGCTACCAGCTTTTCGTCGGGACAAAGGGAACTGTCCGTTATAGACGGCTGTCCGTATTAAGCTGGTGTCCGTAGAGCGGGGTTCCACTGTGTGTACTCAACTTTTAGCAGCTGCGAAAAGGAAGCCTAAAATTTTTACAAGTGTAATTTACAATTGTAGCTAATGTTTTCGGACCCTAAAACAACAGTTGCGGTTACACTGGACACTTTTACCGTGGTAAATGACCCTTTTACCTCGGTAAGTTGGCGTGGTGCGTGTGACCAGACTTTCTCAAGATAAATGTACCATAGGAAATATCCATGGTTACGTTAAAAAGAAAAAAGAAACCGAATTCGCAAAGTGACCAGCTTCAGCAATTTTTCAACATTGTTAACTTCCCCTTTGGTGAACAATTTTTTTTAATCTTAGACAACGTCGTCTTGTGCAACTCAACAGGCAATCGAATTTCAAGAAAAATTAAACTGCAACTGAGCACAATATTGAGGACAAGTCGTTACGTCACGTTGCCACAGTAGCGAAATTTCTGAATGACAACAGACCGCAAACGTCACTTAAAAAGTGTATTTGCGCTGCTTCAAACTTCATCGATCCTATTCAGTTTCATTTCAAATGTTGTCAAATGTTGGCGAAATTTTCTGGAGTTGAATCCGAAAGGAACGTATCTAATTTTAGAAAAAGAATAAGGTTTTGTTCACCTACTCCATAAAGCGAGCGCGTAAAATTAGGAAGTTTCATGTTGCAGTCGTGCAAAGACGGCTAAGAAATGTGCAAAAAAGCGTTATGCATGTACAAAGAGTAAAGAGTAGGGCACGTAGTGCCCGGTGTAGTGGTCTATCTCACTTTCACACTCATGTATGGGGGCATCATCACTCATTCCTTCAGTACTTGTAAACTGCACCTTAAGCAGTCTGGCAAAGTCCCCCAATCAGTGTTGTAAATTATCTCTGAAAAGCCCTGTGGGGAGTGGATAATAAGATATTTACAATTTACAAAGTTGTTGTTTTGCTAACTTAGCGATTTTTGCCGTTCTTTTTGCCGTGATCGTCGTCGTTGCTTAAGTTCCGAATTAGGTGACGTCACACTTCTCTCTGATGCTTTGTGGAACAAAGCTGTAAGATTCGCACTCTGAAATTTATTTTGTGTTGTTACAGTCAGGTGAGTGGACGGATTACGATCAGTCTCTTCTTACCCGCGCCATGATGAAATTTCCTGGAGGAACACCCAATCGCTGGGAAAAGATAGCAGTGGAAATTGGACGATCAGTTGAGGAGGTAAGTCAAGTGCCCCGGCGGAATGGGCGCGGGAAAGCCATCGGTCGCTATCGTTAATCAAAAAGCAGCACGCAGAAGTACTTAGAATTTTACAGTTAAACATTCTTGCACAGACAATTAAGATAGGTCCACCTCGTATAAATCTTATTCCAGAATGATGGCAAAGAGGCCATTTCCGAGTTCCCCTGGGCCTCTGTTTCAAAACGAGGTTAAGTGCTCAGCCTTTGATGTGGAAATCATTTTTCATTCTCACGCAAATAAGACTAATTTCCACAAGAAAGGTTGTACACTTGGCCTCATTTTGGAAGTGAGGGTTTTTGGAACTCGGAAGTGGCCTATTAAGTTATCCCTCTGAAATCCTGTTCGATATATTAAAATTCTAACATGACTCCGATGCTCTTTGGTCGTATTTCTATGTTTGGTTTGGGTTTCTTTCTGCTCAAGTCTCCTCTGGGAATGGCGAGTCAAGTCGAGTCGTGAAAAATTTGCCACTTTGTTCGTAAAGCCTCGGAGTAATGTTAGAATTTCAACATATAGAGCGAGGGCTATTGGTTTTCGATGCCTCGTTTCAAGGTAACAGTTCTTTTTAATCATACGGTAACATTGGAATTGGGACAAAGAGGGCTAGTAATGATGGAAATATAAAAGGAAAAAAACATTGCTACCATTTTGGAAAAAGGAGCAGCAACAATGTTTTGCTTATTGCGCTTTTCAAAAACATGCGTATTCTGAGGTTCAAAGGCCAACTGACGTTTGCATTTTTCGCTGTCGACAATCATTTTAGCGGACGACCTGTTAGGAAATAGAAGTTTACTTCAACGGGTTCAAAAGGTCACGGTTTGTGATTTGTGATTGTTAGATTTCGATCCATTTTGTGTGTTTCTGTGTTTCACTTTCAGGGTTCGTTGCTTGTATTCTAATTATGATTGACGGCAGCGAAAAACACAATTGTGAAGGCGGCTTTTGAACTTCAGAGTTCACGTGTTTTTGAAAAGCGCAGAATAGTCCCTATAATATAAGAGAAATAATAAATTAGAAGGCAATACTTAATACATTTATTTGAACAGTTATGTTTGAATTAAGCAATCTCTATGCAACACAAGTTGTTCCTGTTCCAAATTCAAATGCTTCTCGTGCTTTGCATAAATCATAGGTAATAAAGTGTATGATGGTTATTGGGGCCATTAAATGTCTTTATTATATGTTCTTGTTAGCTTTTTTGTTCTTGACCGTGCACAACGTTTAATAGCATTCCTATCATTTGCAACTTACTTGACCAACAGAGACATCACCTTTATTTATTCAGTCACAATTTGTTACATTCTTGTAACAAAAAGCAAAGGACTACGCACCGTCAGCGAGCTTCCAGCGTATACTGCAACACTGTTGTTTTGCTGGTTTCCATAACCAGTCTCCTCTACTGACTATGCTAAAATATTTAACAATTTAGGTCACAAAACAAATGAAGAAGTCAAAACAGTCCTATGGAGCTCCTGTTCACCCAGCTAATGCAGGTAAAGAAATTACGGGTAATTTTTCCACTGGCTGAGAGTAAAAAAATAAGGGAAAATGTCAGTTTTACTCACACACCACTGGGGTCCTGAGTATAGGTCATGTGACCGAAAGGCGGACAGTTGCTTTGGTTGCATCCGCCACTACTGACCTTCCCACCCACCCTAAGATTTCAGTTTTGTAGACTGTTGTAAATGTAATATACAACTTTGTAAATTCGTTAGTGTTCCACCTTTCTAGGGGTATGTTATGAGTACATTTTTATGAATTTGGAATAAACGTCAGGCTGCGGCGGGG